CGTCACTAGAAGTCGTCGTCGTGCAAACGGTCGTCGATTCGTAAGCTCTCTATTTCCAAAGGCGGCGCCGTCTGATTGTTACTTCCAAGGCTGTTGCCAATTATGTCTTCTAGCCCACACATTTTTCAAAAATGTTTTACATGAAAAACTAGAAATACCTCAGCATTTTTGTCCAAGATTGAAGATCTGGAAGTGACAAATATAAATTCACTTTTGCTTCTTACCTGAGCTCCTGGTAAATTACTAATGGACCGTGTAATGGAAGAGAATTCAGGGCAAGTGCGACAATGGATTCACGTAAAATTACAGCCAACTGTTTCTTATTATCCTCCTGCAAGGTAGGTGGAAATATATAAGAAATGTTATGAACAACAATACCCAGGGCTGTATACACCTATTTTTTAAAATGTTGTCWTCGCCAAAGGCAAAAGGCGATAGGTCATTCCGACATGGAAATGGTTTCGTTGAATACAGAAAACATTAAATTCGTCTTCAACACTAAGGTCCATGTTCTTGACGAGAATAAGAAGTAGAAACAGAAGTGATTCCAGCTATTCTTGGATCTCTAAATGACCTATCTCCTGTCGCTTTTCGCCGATTGCTTATCGCCTTTGGCGATGGCAACGTTTTATTTGAAATAGGTGTTTAGTATGTGAAACGTTTTTTTCAACCATACACGTGCAGGAGAGTTAGAATTTACCTCTTCGAAGGGGGCAAGTACTCCAACGACCAGCACAGGAATACATGCACTAGACAACATGCTGTCACGCTTTGATTCGTCTTGTTGTTCTGTAAAAGGGTTGTAACGTTAATTTCAAGATAAAAAAATAAAAAGAAGATTATTAAATAAGCTAACTGTTCGATTACTTACTTACCTTTGGAAGCATTGATATTATCTAAGCGGTCAATGCAGCATGGTTTAATCTGAAACAAGGAAAATGGTCTCTTGTTTCAAATTGACTAATTTTCCTCTCAATATTATACGATAACCTGTGACAGCTGCAGCACAAGCAGCAGCATAAGCAACAACAACAAAAATAGCAAAAAATAAAACATTAAGGCAAGAGCCACAACAGCAACAGCAATAAAGGCAACAGCAACAGCCACAACAGCAACAGCAACAGCCACAACCGGACAGCAACAGCCATAAAGGCAACAGGCACAACAGCAACAGCAACAGACACAACCGGACAGCACAGCCATAAAGGCAACAGGCACAACATCAACAGCAACAGCCACAACCGGACAGTAACAGCCATAAAGGCAACAGGCACAACAGCAACAGCAACAGCCACAACCGGACAGCACAGCCATAAAGGCAACAGGCACAACATCAACAGCAACAACCACAACCGGACAGCAACAGCAATAAAGGCAACAGGCACAACAGCAACAGCAACAACCACAACCGGACAGCAACAGCCATAAAGGTAACAGGCACAACATCAACAGCAACAACCACAATCGGACAGCAACAGCAATAAAGGCAACAGGCACAACAGCAACAGCAACAGCAATAAAGGCAACAGACACAACAGCAACAGCAACAGCAATAAAGGCAACAGCCACAACCGGACAGCAACAGCCATAAAGGCAACAGGCACAACAGCAACAGCAACAGCAATAAAGGCAACAGGCA